TGGTCGTGTCTTTTTGTAGTCAGTTGGTGTTCATGTACTCTTGTTGTTAGTTTCCTTCCTGTTTGTCCGATGTAGTGTTTCTCGCAGTCTCTGCAGGGGATCTTGTAGATGACATTGGTCCTGTCCCTGGCGGGGAGTGGGTCTTTAGGCTACAAAAAGACACGACCAATACTCACTCATCTCAATCCACATGGACAAGGAGAACCACGACTTCGACTGGGACAACACCAAGATCCTGGGACAGGCTAAGCAGAGACAAGCACTAGAATTCCTGGAAGCATGGCACTTCACGAAGCAGGCTATTAATAAGCACGTTGAACTCGACCCCATATACGTTCAACTACGGAGGAAACCCAGAAGTGAGATAATCCATCGCAATGGACCCCAGAGTTTAAAAACCAGGCGGGAGAACACACCGACTCTCCATCAGAGGCTGCACTGAGGATGTTACCAAGCACGGTAACGAAATGTCTGTGGAACAACAAACCAGCTCGGCGGGTGAGCCAACCAACCTCAATACCCACAACCCGAGCTACAGATCTACTCCAAAACCTTAAATAAACATCTTCCCACATACTTAACCACTTTCACTTTAGGAATATGCTTGACTTCAATCCTTAGCACTGAGTTATTGAAGTAAGGTCTAAAACTCACTTTTTTAGTGTTAAAACCCATTGATATGGCTTTCCTATGGAACATTATTTTATATTTTCTCTTGTTAAACACAAGCTGAGTTTATTTTTAATCACTTTCCCTGGATTTCAGAGCAGCATTTCTGTAACAATTTATTATCTTGTGTGTAATAGCATTTAGTAAAAACCACACTAGTATTTGGGATCCTGTGCACTTTATATTGTCAGTGAGTAATAGCTCTGAAAATGTTTTTTTTCCCACCTCCAGGTTGCTGAAGCGACATGAGAACCACCTTTCAGTACTGGCCATCAGTGGTATGGAGGCTTCCACTGCACTTGCTAAATGCCTTTATGAACTCAACTCGCATGAACAATCAGAGTCAACAGAAAAAAAATGCTGAGGAAGAATGTGATATGATTAAAATCCAGCGGCAGTTAACAAGGGTCAGGAGGAAATGCAATCATTGTGCAGAAGAACTGGAACCTTACTGTCTACATTTTATACCTGTTTACTATAACATGAAATTAGAAGGACTGATGTTTTTTAAATTATTGGTTTTGCAGAAATGTCCCTGTTATGCCAGAGACAAACTTCCTGCATCACCTTAGTCTCTCATCTCGCTCTGACAGACAGAAGGTTTTGTGACACCAGGAGAAGTGAACAATCAAAACGAGAACATTAGCCTGGCCACCCATACTCATTGGCATACTCTCACACACTCACTCTCTTAAACTGGCTCACACTCGCATGCACACAACTCACTTACATGCACAAATCCTCTGTCTCACACACACGAGTCATTGACACAGTCGCACACTAAAGAACCTGAATAGAAAAACTACTGGCAATGGTCTCCAGGCATCTGTCAAGCTCTGCAGTCAGTCTAGGCACCTGCCTCAGGGAGGCTTCAACTCAAGTCACTATTCTTCCTATGAGAGAGATCTCTGATTTTACAGAAAATGCCCAAGGATAGATATATAATTTTTTTCCATCTATTTATAAAAAGAAAATTTCATTTATATTTCATTTCCCTGTGTATTTAAAAAAAGTTGCAATTTAATTCCACATCGGAATATCAATTAAAACTGCTCATTGAGTAGGTCTCTATGCCCTGAAATCCTGCAAAAGCCCAATTGGCTGCGAGTTGATCCTTGTTTTTAGAGCTAGAGTCCCTCGGCTTTCTGCTAGGGAAAAGTTTCCAGCATTCAGATATCTGGATACAGTTTTGCAGTTAACGTTTATGGTTTTAAAACACTGCAAACTGCACAACACTTGAAGTTTTTCCCACTTGTCCCCTGTTTGAAGTGGTGCATTTTCCATTTATTTATTATATGTAAACTATCAGATTTGATGTCCCCTTTTCGGAGTCATGTAAATATTTGTGAATATCGAAAATGCCTACATACCATTGCAGGAGAATGAAGGGAAGAGAGATGCAGCAATTGCAAGCAGTGAAGTCTGGGTGAGCGCTAGGATAGAACCCAAATTAGCCACAGAGCAGAAACATGGGTGTCTTTCCAGCTATGGCTGTAAAGATCCACAATATGGCAGCTTTGTCCAGTTGTACTACCAACTTTGTGCCACTAGATGTTGCTAGCTTTGAAAGTGTGACACCACAGACATTAACAAAGCTTATCTGGTGGAGTTAAAGTGACATTGCAACAATTTCACCATTACCGTCAACACTTGTTAATTGGGACATCAGGGTGAAATTTAAATCATCATATTTATAAAAATATTTTGCTTCAGAAGGGACAATCAGTACAGATCTAAATGTGTGGAATCAATTGGTGCCTGAGAAAATATTCCATGTGGAGAGAAAATACTCCCATTAACCCTTGTCCCCATTAATAGCATGAATTTCTTTTTGTCTTGGCACTTTTTTTGGTCAGCTTACATTCATTGCACCAATGGCTAATGTGAAGAGTAAGCGCCCACCTAGAATCAAAGGATCTAGTTTTTGTATGTTACCTGCCATATGTATGTAAAAGCATATACATAAAACACTGCATCAAGCAGCGTGGAACTGTGTACATAACTTCACAAAGGTACTGATGCTGTATAATAAGATTGGCACAGTTTTGTGCAGCTGTGGTTTTTGTATTATACACCATGTAAAGCTTTTGCTTGTTATGAAATAATATATCGCATCATTTTTCTATAAAAGGTAAAAATTCCAAGACAATTTAAAAAAAAAACTGTTACAGCATTTTTCCTGAGATTAGGGCCCATTTTAGACAACCTTTAGTCGCAGCACAACCTTCAGAACTTGTATAGGAATTTTTTTTTAATTTGTAAATGTATTTAAATACATGACGTTTTATACAGCTTTATTTTCACCTGTGTTATATTTGTAATTCGTGTAGGTGTGATATTTCCCTTGTTATTCCTTTGTTCCGTTTTTCTACCCGTGACATATTAAAGTGTTTTTTAGTGTACAGTATAGTGCCTCCGCTTTTGGTACAACGTGACTTTCTTGCCTATGGTCAGTTTGTGTTCCCTTGGTTTCTTTGTGTGCCTCGCCACTGATGATCCCTGGTATGGTTGACTAATGGGGAGTTATATTGTAATTAGAAGTAATGCACACTAACCATAAGATTTCACTGTGCCCTCCTAAAAGTTCATCAAAGTAAAGCAGTAATAAAACTTTACTCATTGACCAGTAGGAAACCCAGTTTGATTAAGCCTGTACTAAGCTAATTGATCCCAACCTAGTCAATAATATTTGCAATTGATCTTCAAGCTCCTGATAAGGAGGAAAGTTAGTTGGGTTTCATACTCTTCCTACTAGCTATTCATCAATACCTACTAGAAAGGCATGTGGCTGAATGTCTTCTAAGGATGGGATCATGTTCAGCTTCCTCACAAAATCTGATAGAATGCCATAGCTCACTGTGTGGCCTAGGCATGAATGCCAGCTGAAAAGGGTACCTGAGGGTGACCATCCATAGAACTGAATAGAAGCAATGACAAAAAAGCTATTAAGAATGGTTTTGGGGGATGAACTATCGTGGGGAAAGTGGGAGCATTTCTTCAATGCAGGACAATCTCCTAATCATTAATCTCCCAGTATAAACGTCACTGTGCAGAGCACACTGCAGAAACCAAAATAGACCGAATACTGAGTAAAAGCAACTTTGTTTTGAAGCTTTGTCGTGATTGGAAAGTATAGTCTTGAGGTTTGACTGACTTTCACAAGCTGCATGAGATTTACTCTTGCAGTTTATGAGCACCATCTGAAACCATTGATTAGATTGCCATGTTGTAATCAGTCCCAGATGTCCATTATTCTTTGTGTAAGTGCAAGACATATAAAATAATTTAGTATCTTCTAGTACATTCACCAAACTGCAATGCAAAAAAAAGTTTTTTTTAAAGAAGAATGTATTTTAAGATGTATGTGCAGTACTGTTTTTGTGCACTGTATGACCCAAGTTCTGTTTTACAGTAAAATTACCAATACAAAATATGAGACTATTCCAGACTTTGTTCACAATTTAAACTGCTACCCAATATCTACGTAAGATGAGAGAATTCAAGGTGAATTTGTGTAAATTGTCTGTTTTGATGTCCTGATCACTTTCTCTCTGAAGGAAAGCTAAACCTACTCCTGGTTAGGCTGGCAATGTATTAGTGTCAGTGACAAGTACAGGAGTACAGTGAAAAGTGTATAATGTTGCCACACATGGCACCATCTTAGATACAAATGTATCTAGGTACAAAAAAAACTTGGGTCCAATGTAGTAAAAGTTAACCATTGGCTTCATAGAATAAGTACCAATAAGGAAATAAAGTAATAATTAACATTAATGTCCTCCTTAATTTAAACTGGGAAAAATAAAGGAATAAAGTTAAAAGTTCAACAATCTTTGACAAGTGCTCTGCTTATCTCACTCTCCGGGAGACCTCAGCTGCTTGAGCTTGACACCACCACCTCCGCCGCAGATAGCAGGAGTCCTCCTTCACCACTTGCACATCCTGTGTTGCGCCATGAAGCCATCGCTACTGTTGCCTCCCCGATCTCCTGCCTCCAGAACATACGTGGGCAGGACCTGCTTGCATGCCGAGCCACCGCCACACCAAACCAAGAGATCACCACAGGGCAGAGAGACCACCACAGCCCAGGTCGAGAGGACACCCTCATTGGGTCCACACTGAGGCCAAGGAGATAAGAACGTCGATAGAAAAAGAGAAAGAAATGGATGGAGCGAATGTACTCCTACTGAAGCATTCTACTTTGCCGCCATCTTGGTTTGGAATTACTGCACATCCTTAATTGCACTATAGAATATGATGTACTGTCTTATAGAACAACTGCAATCCATCTGTTGTAGGTAGAGTGCGGTTTGAAAGAGAATTCCAGGATTTTGACTCTGTGCCAATGAATGAATGGTGATATTGTTCAAAGTTGGGATACTGTGCCTTGGAGGAGGTCTAACAGCTAGTGTTGTTCCCATACATCTGGTGCCCTTGGTCTTCTAGACAATAGAAGTGATGGGTTTGGAAAGTTCTGTTGAAGGAGCCTCGATGAATTGCTTCAAAACATCTTCAGAGATGGTATACAATAATGCCAGTATGTGTTGATGGTGAAAGAAATGAATGCTAAGTGATGGGGTGCCAATCAAGTGGTCTAAATTGATCTGGATGTTTTGGAGCTGCTTGTGGTTGTGTTCATCCAGGTAAGGGGAAAAATTTCCATCTCTCACTTATTCCTTATCAGTAGTGGATGGGGATTGGGAAGTTGAGGGGTAAGTTACTTGCTACAGAATTCCCAATTTCTTGGAACCACAGTAGTTATGTGGCTGATCCAGTTAAGACACTGGTAAGATCTATGGTAACCCAAGGATTTTGAGCCAGAGATGATTCGATTTTTTTTTTTTTTTTTTTTAACTCTTTAGGAGCCCTTTGACAGCTTTTAGACTACAGTGATACCGTTTTTGTGATGTGAATTTTACTTGCCATTTATAGCCCAAGGCCAGGTCTTAATGCCAGTTGTAACGGACTTCCAATATCAGAGGAGTTGGAAATTGAAGTGCTCAGAACAATCATCTCTGAACATTTGCACTTTTGACCTTGCAACAAAAGGAATGTCATTGAAGCAGCTGAAGACGGTTGGTCCTTGAGGAAATCCTACAGCAATGTCAGGATAAGCAGAACTTTTCTCCAGTTCAATACTGGGAAGACCAAAGCCATCATTCTCAGCCCCCACTCCAAACTATTATGTAGTTACTGACTCCATACTTATCTCTTGGCAATTATGAGATTAAACCAGTATGATCAGACTTGTCATATTTGACTCCCCAATGGGTTTCTAACCTTGTATTCACTAAGACCACCTGCTCCACCCCCGCTGGCATCACCTGTTTTTGTCTTTGTCTCAGTTCATCTGCCGGAACACTCTAGTCCTCTAGATTTGATTATTCCAATGCATTCTCTTGACTGCCACATTCTAACCTCCTGTAAACGTGAAGTCAGCCTAACTTCTGCCTGTGTGTCAAGTTGCACTAAATCTCATTCCTGTGTCAGCCCTGTGTTCACTGATCTACATTGACTTCTGGTCATGCAACATCTCAATTTTAGACATGTTCATTTTTGTTTTCAAATCTGTCCAGAGTGTCTGTCCTCCTTTGCAATCTCTTCCAACCTCAAAGTGGTTTGAGATCTGCTGCCTTGGGCATCCAGTTTTAAATTATTTCAACGAATGAGGGCCAGTCTTTCAGTGGCTTAAATACTGAGCTTTGAAATTCCTTCCCTAATCACTACCTCAATCTCTTTCCTTCTTTTAAGGCTGTTATTGAAGCCTATCTATTTGGCTATTCTGTTGATCATCTGACCTAATATCTCCTTAAGTGGCTAGATCTCATATCTTGTTTTATAATACTCCTGAGTGTCTTGAGAGTTCGTATAATGTTAAAAGGCCATGTACATACTGATGTAACTGAGAAACAAATTTACTTTCTGAAACAAAAATGTGTTTAAGGTTATTCTCTCAGGCGGATGATTTAAGAGATTTTGTTCTGGGGATATATTTGTGTTAATCTCTGAAATTTCTCAGTTTTGTTATTTGCTTATGTCAATAATCCACTTTCTCAGAATTTATCATTTGACGTACAGTTTATTTCTAACTATTTGTTACTCCTTTAAGAATAGATCAGTATATATACTTTTGTCACTTAAGATGTTTAAAAAAAAATTCAGATCGAGGTTTAACTTTCTAGGTTGTGGTTTGCTTCTTAGTTCAGAGGTTTTGCATTGCTGAGAAAGAATGTATTTACAGGTATTTTCCTGTGGTCACAGGAAATGTGTTATTCCCAACTTAATTTGGACTCTTCTGTTAATCATGATCAGCTTTATGTTGAATAATTAATCTTGGTGTGAAATAAAAATTGGCAGTACTGTCAGATCGATATTCAGATTTCACTCAAATCTAGGCCAGCTCATCTCTGACTGCTGTATGGTAAAGTCAAAGTTTTGACAGCCCTTTGGCCCATCATGTCCATACTGGTCATCAAAATCAAAAAATTCTGATCGCATTTTCCAATACTTGGCCTGTAGCCTTGAATGCGATGGTGTCTCAAGTGCTTATCTAAATAGTCCTTAAATGTCTTGGGGGTTTCTGCCTCTACCAGCCTCTCAGGCAGTGTGTTCCAGATACCCACAGTGCTTTCACCTCTGCCCCCATGCTCTTTATCTTAAAACTGTGCCTCCTGGTTATTGACCCTTCTGCTACAGAGAAAAATTTCTCCCTGTCTACCTTTATCTATTCCCCCCTCAACCTTGTGCACTCAATCGTATCTCCCCTCAGCCTTCTCTGCTCTAAGGAAAACAATACCAGCTTATCTAATCTCTTCATAGCTCAACCTCTCCAGCCCAGGCAACATGATGAATCTCTTCTGCACTCTTGCTAATGGAATCACATCCTTCCTAAATAGAACTACACACATTACTGCAGCTGTTGTCTAACTAATTTGTATACATTATCCATTATCACTTCCTTGTCCTTATATTCAGTTATATATTATATAATATTATATATTATACTATATATATTCTTATATTATTGACTAATAATATTGTCCTAAATGCTTCCGTGATCACCTTATCTACTAGTCCTGCTGCCTTTCAGGATCTGTGAATATGCTCACCAGTGTCCTCAGTTCCCTTCTACTTCTTAATGTCCTGCCAACCATTGTGTGCTCCCTTGCTGTGTTCATCCTCCCAAAATGTATCAACTTCCACTTTTCAAGATTAAATTCCATTTGCTACTGTTCAGCCTTTCCAACCAGCCTATCAAATCATCCTGTGTCACTGTACAGTGCTGTGAAGGCCTGTCATGTAGATTAGGGATGCTCTTTTCTTTCCTTGTTTGGGCTAAGTAGGGGCACACAAGGCAGTAGCACCTCTGTGCGAGGGAATATCAGGCTAGGTTCTCTGACCTGACCATTTGGTGGTGGTTGCTGATAAACGTCTATGTTTGGTGAGGAAAAGATGCAGTGGAGTATTGATGCCTGCTGACATTCACTGTTCTGGCTCAAACTTTAAAATGGATACTTTGAGTGAAGTTGAACAAAACTGTCAGTACAAGTCACCATTTCCGGGGTGGGACTGGGTAATGAAAATATCCAGTAGCATACTTTCAGACCTCAGCCTCATCTTCTTTTACTTACCTGCCCTTTTTCAGCAGGAATATCAAATCATTTACAACAGCAGACCATTAGGATTACTTGCTAGGGGTTCAATAAACTTGGATGGATAGTGGGCAAGCAGACTACGAGGCCTGTCTCCCTTTACTGGGGCATCAGCCCTGTTGTATTCATAACTATTAGAATCTCATTACCTTCAAACCTGCGCCCAACCTCATGAATCGTTTATACCTCCCATTCCCCCATATCTTCTAATCTCCTTCTTTGCAGCCTACACCCATCTTCACAGTATCACAAATCACTGAACTAATGAGGTATTGGCAACTCTTTGAAAAGCTAGTGAATGTGATACAATAACCAAGTTGGCTTTAAAAATCTACTGTAAAAGAACTCCATTTGCAACCTTGTTAACATCTTTAAAAATGTCAAAAACATTCATTCACTTCACACTTCTTGTAAAATAAACATAGGTATTAACAAACCTGAATCAAAGAAACCACTTATTTCAAAATAATCAGTATGTCAGTCAAACGACTGTACAAACAATTCCAAATGTTTTGTGATATTTCTTCTCGGGGCTCAGCTCAGTATTCATAATGATTCTATCTTGCAATTCCATCCACCAAAGCAGTACAAACAGTGTTTCTGAGATGACCTTACAAATGCTTGGCTAAGCTTCAAGAAAGGTTAATCCACTTTGCTCAGCAGGCAATGTTTACACAGCTGCAGAGGGGAATGATAAAAACATCATTCAAAAGTTATTACCTTGTAATAACTACATATTTCTCTGAAGAGTTCTTTCAATCACGTGTTTGCTTATACAA